CTGTGGTGTTATTATGTTGTTGTGTAGTGGCGACTGTGTGTGGTTGCTGTGTGAGTGTGTGGGGCTGCACGGGCGGACTATTGTTTGCCGTGGAGACTGCTCTGTTTGAGCAACAGGGGGCCACGTAAGACGTGGTCCACTGTCTGTGTGTCCGTAGTCCCGAGCAGACCCTGAGGTGACTCCACCCCTCGCAGGCATTACACTTGACTGAGGTGGAGTTGTGGTGTAATCGTCTTCGGCATACACAGCAGGTGTATATTTCTGGCCCAGGGTTTGACTCGATGCCAGCCCTGAGTAGGAGAATGCGTAGTGAATGTTGCCCTATGGACGGACAACTTCTGAGATACTTCGCCGACCTGAACGGGGTTAGATCGCCGAAACAACAGCCCTTGGTCGGGTGAAACCCGAGTCATTCCGGTACGTAGAACCGGCTCCAATGAAGCTCCTCCAATTCAACTGTAACGGGCTACAGAGCAAGATTGAGGAGATAACCGTCTTCATGTGTCGGCATGGTATATTAATAGCTGCGGTCCAAGAGACGAAGCTGCACAGCAATTCAACTTTGTTGAATTGCGCCGGGTACAATGTGCACCGTCGAGATCGCGAGCGAGATAATGGTGGTGGCTTAGCGTTCATCACGCACCACACCGTGCAGTATCGTCTTATCGAAGCAGACATCGACCGCAGGGATACCACCCTAGAATGTCAGGGCATCGCTATCCGGTCAGGCGATGTCGAGCTCGAAATATTTAACATTTACATACCCCCTGTCACCTGCTGCCCGGCAGGATATCACCCTGATATAGGTGCGCTCCTCAGAGGTGAAAACCGTATGGTAGTAGGTGACTTTAATGCGCACCACGATCTTTGGCACTCAAGCCTGTCAAACGATCGTAGAGGAACAGGCTTGGCTGAGCAGATAGACGATTCGACATTCTGCACAATGAACGACGACGCACCCACCAGGATTATGGGTAACTGCAGTAGCTCGCCAGACATCACAATAGTCAGCGCTGGTCTGATAAACAGCATAACGTGGCGACCTATGCTGACTCTAGCATCAGACCATCTACCCATAGTCATCTCGATTGATAAACCAACCGACTTTGCCTCCGCCAAACACCGGACCTATATCAACTTTTCCAAAGCTGATTGGAAAGGTTACGCGGAGTTTACTGAAAACACCTTCGCAGCGCTCCCCACACCAACCGACGTCCATCTCGGTGAACGTAAGTTCCGCAGGGCTATCACTGCTGCTGCAGCTCGCTTCATACCGGCAGGATGTATATCGGACCCACGTCCAAACTTCCCTGCCGAAGCGGCTGTTCTAGCTGATGAGCGTGATAGCCTTCGTCAGGCCGATCCCGGAGATCCCCGTATCAGGGATCTCAACGCGGAGATTCGGCAACTTGTAAACGTACATAAGCGGAAGAAGTGGGAGGAGCACCTGAAGACTTGTAATTTCACCTCTGGTGTGAGCAAGCTTTGGTCAACCGTGAGGTCATTGTCTAATCCGACGAAGCACGACGACAGAGTCGAAATTTCCTTCGGCGACCATGCTTCGTCGGACCCGGAGCGATGCGCGAGCTATTTTAGCCGGCAGTTCATACTGCATCCTCCGGTAGACAAAGCCAAGCGTCGAGTGACCAGAAGGCTGCACAAACTGCCAACAAATTGTGCCCCCCTTGCTTTCACTTGCGGTGAAGTTCAGGTGGCCATCGGGAAGGCGAAAGCCTCCAAAGCCATGGGTCCCGACGGAATATGCATGCTGATGCTGAAAAATTTGGGTCCTGCGGGGGTAGCGTACCTAACGGAGGTCCTCAACCTGTCAATGGCCACTCTCATCATCCCAGACATCTGGAAGGTGGGGAGAGTGGTCCCACTGCTCAAACCGGGGAAACCCGCCAACAAAGGAGATTCGTATCGTCCGATTACACTCCTTTCCCCGGTAGCGAAGACACTTGAGGCCTTGCTACTCCCGTACTTCACAAACCACCTGACCCCAGCGAAGCATCAGCATGGTTTCCGTAAAGTGCACAGTACAACAACAGCACTTAACGCCATAAACACTCAGATAACTCGTGGCCTTAACCGCAACCGTCCCTGTGAGAGAACGATTCTAGTAGCGTTGGACTTGTCAAAGGCGTTTGACACCGTCTGCCATTCCACGCTGCTAGAAGATATAGAGGCCTCCTCTCTCCCACAGAGGCTCAAACGGTGGTCGGCAAATTATCTGAGTGGTCGACATTCGTCGGTAACATTTAGAGACAAAACGAGTAAGCAGCGAAAAATAAAACAGGGGGTTCCTCAGGGTGGTGTCCTTTCCCCGCTACTGTTTAACTTTTATATTTCAAAGCTCCCTCAACCACCAGAGGGAGTCTCGATTGTCTCCTATGCCGACGACTGCTCGATCATGGCGACTGGGAATGGAATTGATGACCTGTGTTTGAAAGTAAACGGCTATCTCTCCGAACTTTCTCGCTTCTTCACTGCAAAGTGTCTAGCCCTCTCCCCTACGAAATCCTCCGCGACCCTGTTCACAACCTGGACGAAGGAGGTCAGGCTACCGCTGGGGATTCACGTCGATGACACACCAATTCCGACGGTGAATAACCCCAAAATACTCGGAGTAACATTCGACAGCCTGCTCTCCTTCTCTGCGCACTCAACCGCTATTGTCAATAAAGTACAGAGCCGCAACAAGGTCCTCAAGTCGCTAGCCGGCAGTACTTGGGGCAAAGACAAAGAAACGTTGCTGGCAACATACAAGGCAATAGGCCGGCCGGTTTTGAACTACGCAGCGCCAGTGTGGTCGCCAGGGACTAGTAGGACGCAGTGGACGAAGCTACAGACGGTACAAAATACGGCACTTAGGACAGCGACGGTATGCCTCCTGATGTCGCCAGAACACCACTTGCACGGCGAGGCGCAAATGCTCCCAGTTAAGGAGCACAACATAATGCTCTGCAAGCAGTTCCTGATCGGGAGCCACAGAAGTGGCCACCCAAACAGACAGCTGCTTGCAGAGGAGCCCTCGCCTAGGCACGTCAGGAGGCATCTATATGAACTGACGGACGAAGTCCAGAGGTTCATTAAGCAACCTCTGGACCCGACAGCGTACAGACAGGCCCTGAACGGCATTCACAGGGACTCAGTCTCGAGTTATATAGACTCTACACCTGTGAATGCCGTTCTAGGCATACCACCCCCGGACATTGACGAGACAGAGCTTCATCTGCCTCGGGAGACACGCACTACACTCGCCCAACTTCGCTCCGGCTACTGCAGCAGGTTAAACTCCTACTTGAGTAGGTTGAATGAGGATGTGCCGAACGAATGTCCGGCATGCGGAGAGACCCCACATGACTCGAACCATCTCTTCGCATGCCCGGAGAACCCGACAACCCTAACGGCCTTGTCCCTGTGGACAGATCCCACAGAAGCTGCACGCTTCCTAGGGTTGCCGTTAGTGGAACTTGACGACAACGACTGAGATACCAACCGATCTGGGCGGGGTTGTTGTAGCCGCTACAACAACAACAACAACAACAACGTTTGCTTTGAATATTTAACGCCACGGTGAAGGTTACATGGCGGGAGCAGAAAACGAACGACTGCGCTAAGCGCCACTGGAGTCGGGGAAAAACAAAGGCAAAGACAAGGATACAGAAGAAGACAAAGACAAAAATGAACACTAAGATGAAGATAGGGATAAAAATAAAATGTTTTAAAATCAATTTTAGGCAAGTATACATTGGCCATTATTATCTATGACCTTTTGCTAATTTTTGGGTAGCTTCACAATTCCATCGTTGTAGAACTTCTGTAGTTTATCGGCGAAAAACTTGGCCAAGTGATCTTCAGCGGCTCTTCGGTCTGCAGAGACCGAAAGAAATGGAAGAGGGACGGGATACACGTTGGATGCATTGAAACTTCTTCAACCGAGCCATCACAGATGTGTGTGTGGCCTTGAATTGTCATGATGGACCTCAACTCTTTTTCTATTGGTCAGTTCTGGTCAGTTCTGGTCCCTCTTTCGTAATTGTTTTTTTTTTTGCAAACAATCAAATTGTGCATAGCAGATGATTGGATTGATAGTTTTGCCACGTTGTAGCAGTTCATAATGAACAATTCCCATCCGATCTCACCAACCACTCAACACAGCCTTGTTTGTCTGCAATCAAGGCTTTGATGTCGGTTGTGGAGGGTCATCGGTCTTTGACCATGATCGTTTGCGTTGCTTAATCTTATATTCAATCCATTTTTCGTTGTTCCATTCATTTTTAAATCAATATAACTTTGTTCACGAGCGATGAATTACAGAACTGTCTCCACTAAAAAATGTAGCCTCGTTTGACAATTGACTTAGTGTTGCCGGATGTATGGGCATAAATACCACATAGTGACGAAAATCCGCAGAAACTTTTCTATGACCCAATATTAAATACGATTTTCTATCGAATGGAAGATGGAGCTATTCCAGAAAATGTCAAATAAGAACGTTCTGTTAGGTAGGAGAGCCATCAAAAACATGCTCGTGCTTTTTTTGGCACAGATTTCAAAGCATTTTGAGAGATCATATCAAAAACTCCATATTTTTTTTTTGCTTTCGGTGGCATAGCATCGTCCTACCGTCGACTTACATATATTAGGCTAACGTTAATGAAAACTGGGAGTTTTGTTCGGTTTTCTTAGTTAAAACTTCAACTTGGCCGGCCAGACATTTTGTTTGAAGTTCTGCGCTTTCCGAAATTATTTGTCTATTTTCAATACCAGTTATTGGATACATCGTATTAGGTCTAGAAAAAGATGCAAATCGAAGTAGCGCATAGTTTTAAAGTTGCGCTAATATTATACATATTAATGTCATACGATTTTTTACGTAAATACAAAACTTTTTAACATTTTGAATTTTTGTACATACTAACTACTTACATAAATAGATATATTTAGCTTTAAAACACTCATTATCGTTTTCTTCTTATTTTTTCTTCTTTTAGGGGTACATTGGGACTTATTATTGCTGGTGTGGCGATAATGTGGTGTGCAATGTCTGCTTCGAAACTGTTCGTGACGGCCTACTCGATGGACCATCAACAAGTACTGATTGCGTATCCGTGCGCGCTTTTGTATGGAGTTTTTGCGTTGATTACAATATTTTAAATACAAAAGCATTCAGCAAAGCATAATAGTGGTCAAGAAAAAATTATCATTATAAAACTATGATAATAATAATAATGGCGAAACAGATAAGTAACGATTTTTAAAATTTATGCTTTTATAAAAATATGTACATTTGTGTGTGCATCTATTAATTATGTATTTTTTGAATTGATATTTTATAATAAATTACTAAAATTTTTGAGCACATCCTTATACATAAATAATCGTACATGTTTACTGATAAATGTAAAGCATTGGAAGCGAATGGCGAAGGGCAAATATTGAATACAAGGAAATGGATGCATTAACAGGGTGACAATATACAGGGGTAAGCGCTCGAAGTGTTACCAATTAAAAATGCTAAAATTTTGTCTATTTAGTTTTTTTTTGTATTTAAAAACATCAGTTCCGCATAAAAACTAGTCAAATTTAAGAAAAGTAAAAAATAATGTGGTCTTGTGACATTTTGTATTGAGCAGGGCGTAAAGGTACTTCAAAAAAGGCGTGAGTACCAGAGCTGGGTAAATGCTATTACATTACAATTACAATTACATTCCTCAGTAATTGTAATTAGGATTCAATTCCTTTAGTTCACAGCAAAGGAATCGATTACTTTTTCAATTCCTTGAAGTAATTTCAAATGGAATTGTTTTTTTCTTTAATTCCATTACAAGGAATTTCATATTGTAATTGGAATAAATTACGTGCTAGTAATGTAATTTTTTGTTTATTTCAATTCCTTTGAAAGGAATTGAAAATGTAATTGATTTTTTTTCCAATTCCATTCCTCAAAGTAATTTAAAAAGTAATCGAAAAATTTATAAAAAAAATTGTTGCACTGTTGAATTGAAAAAGCTTTTTTAAATTTCTTGGTTGCTAACTGCCTTGAATAAACAACTTATACCTAAGTAGTATTACTAATTGGACTTTAAGAAAACTGAATAGCTTAAACTGTAGCGGTTCAGTTTATAGGGTAACGGTTAAATTTTCCAGATCCTACCGCGAACGCGCTTCGCGGCAGATGAGACCCATAAATGTTGCTGCCTTGGGCACTGCTGTTCTCTTGGACTAATCCCTGCGTATCTAAAAAAATGCACTGAGTTAATTGTGTATATTATGGTACCCTTAATTTTACCCAAAATGGCGTGCCTTCTGAAGCCTTTGAAGTACTCTTACTGGTATCTTGTGTTACAAATGAGGATAGAGTACGCTTGAATTACGAGCCCTGTGGGACTGGAGATCCTCCTAAGAGTTTTATAAACAAATTTCATTGCTATGGCTAAATTTTGATGATAACACTGTAACGACGCTAAAATTACACAAAAAACGCCGAGAATTTCGGAATCTACTGCAGACTTTCCAAGGATGGTTATAGGCTAAAAAAAAGTTTCGATATAGAAAGGGGGCGTGGCACCTCCCATACAAACCGAATTTTTCAAACTGCATATATTTGTGGTAGAGGACTAGAACTGGGTATGGTGATATATACAGTGACGAGCAAAACTGTAACATGGTGTAACACTTTTTATTTCAGCCACCGCTATATTTCCAAGTTCTAACGACTTTCATTCTTTTGTTGTATATTCTTGTTGGTACATCCCTACTCCCTCTCTCATAACGATTTGAAGTCAATACAACGACAATAAAAAAACCAGCAGTCAAAAATGTAAATTAAGGCAGATGTTACAGTTTCGCACTCACTCTCAGTTTTGCATTTGACAGTTACTTTTACTTACTTACTTTTAGTTTTACTTAGTTGGAAGTCAGATGACTTTTTTCTATATTGTAATTTATTGAAGAAGTGATCACCAGTAAATAACATAGTTAATCAGGAACCATAAATGTAAATAATAGATTTACTGTGGAAAGGCGGAACCGCACGAAAAGTGGCAAACAATTTTGGAATTTGCGACTTGAAAATGTTAAGACTTAGAAAAAATATAGCCTAAGTGTTCCCAAGGACAAAGGAAGTCTGTTAAAAAATATTACGGTACGATATCTTGTGAACTTAGCAGCAAGTAGCGATGCAGCTACTATTACAGAACCGCTTAAGGTATTAAACTGTAATGCAAATCAATAGACAGCGAGGCGAAGAATTGCCAAATTGAGCGCAAAGGCATCATAAAGAAGAAATAAGCAAATTTGATCAAAATACATGTGCGAGTGTGGCAGCATTTCGCTGCATCGCACGAAAACCGAACCGTTGCCTATTGGGATATGTTAGGCCGTTCAAAATGCAATAAAAAACATATTTTTAAGTTTCAATTGAAGGTTATTTGGTCTGACAAGAATAAATTAATCGCTTTCAATCAGATGGCCGGGCATGGTATTGGATCAAAGACCCAAATTAAGCCTAAGCGCATCATGTACGGCAAACTGTGAATCACAGTGGTAGGATCTTAATTGTTTGGGGTTGTATTTCAAAAATATTGTTGGTCCGTTAGTACGCATTATGTGTAAGGAACAGTATCTGTTCATGTTTCTACAAAATTTGCAAGATGTAGTCGAAAAATGAGAGTTTCTGCTGAAAAATCACCCAAAACATACTGCATATGTTCTCAAAGACTGGATGAAAAAGCAAAAATTTGCTAATTTGAAATGACCTCCACAATCCGCGGACATGAATCTCATCGAGAATTTGCGAAATTAACTAAAAGCACAGCTTAACAAGTACCAAAGTCCGTAAAATCGAGTACATGAGCTGTGAAAGCAAACTAAGGTTATACCTCCAGAATTTTTACAAAGATACAAATAAGGTATGCCAAATCGCATCCAGGAACTGAAACAAGCAAAAGAGTACTGAATATTGTGTTAGTAGTTCTTTTTTTCGTGAAAGTTGTTAAAAAGTTCTTAAAAATATATGAGTGCAAAACTGTAACATATGCCTTAATTTACATTTTGTCTGCCATATAAACCGAACTTTTCATATTGCATATTTCTGGAAGTGTTCATGGTAGACTGTAAGCCTTTTTAAAACTCTTTAGTTTGACACCCACATGCCAAAATTTCATTTACTTTATCAATTTAACTGAGTTACAATTTCCAAATAGGTGGCAGCCCCTCTCAAAAATATTTCCAACAGTTATCTTTCTTAAACCTCTTTAATTTGAAACCCATATTGTAATATTTTATTTATTTTATCAATGTAATTTAGTTAAATTTTCAAACAGATGGCAGCCCTCCTCAAACATATTTTCGGCAGTAAGCCTTTTTAAAACTCTTTAGTTTGACACCCACATGGCAATATTTCATTTTTTTAACAATTTGACTGAGTTTAAATTTTCAAATAGGTGGCAACCCTCGTCAAAAATACTTCCAGCAGTTATCTTTCTTAAACCTTTTTAACTTGATACCCATATTGTAATAATTCATTAATTTTACCAATATAATTGGGTTTAAAAATTTTAAAATAGGTGGCAACCCTCCAAATTTTTGCGATATCATTGGTTCTGGTATTATACCGAATAATAAAAAAAATTATTCAAATCGGTTCAGCCGTTCTCGGGTTTTGATAACCGTGACATACGAACACAACATTTTTATATACATATATAGATATACATAGAAGATGTCCAATGTGTTCTTTCGATTTTAATCTTTGACCACAACAAAAATTCCACATTGTACATTCCTGAATGACCTTTCAGTTTCTCGATTACTTTTACAATTCCTTTGAGTAATTGAAAAAACTAAAGTACTCTTGCAATTCCAGGTAATGGAATGAAAAAAAATCAATTACATTTTCAATTCCTTTCAAAGGAACTGGAAAAACAATTACATTACTAGCACGTAATTTATTCCAATTACAATATGAAATTCCTTGTAATGGAATTAAAGAAAAAACCAATTACATTTGAGATTACTTCAAGGAATTGAAAAAGTAATCGATTCCTTTGCTGTGGACTGAAGGAATTGATTCCTAATTACAAATCCTTGTAATCTGTAATTGGGAGTAATTTAATTCCTAAAGGAATCATTACGACCCAGGTCTGGTGAGTACTAGTTACTCATGAAATTTGATGTGTAAACATATACGTATATAATCTCGATTTTGTTAATCACCCTGTATACACAGGCAAATTTTAGATTATTAGCCGTCAAATTTGTTGTGCTTGCTATTCTCACCACTCAAGGAAAAGTTAAGTTTCTTCTCTGTGCCACCGTGATCACTTTTTTCTGCTATACATATTAAGCAATTTAAATATACTTTAACTTAATATTTTATTTAAAATACTTTTACAAAACTCTTTTCCTTGCTAGCGTCCATTTTTGTTTACTTTTACATTCGTCATTTCTCCTCTTCTTCGCAAATATAATCGATAAAACTAGGTTGGATACCGAAAAGTTATGAGTTTCGTCTGAGATTGTTTTCTTTTACATTCGAAATTTCTCCTCTTCTTCGCAAATATAATCGATAAAACTAGGTTGGATACCGAAAAGTTATGAGTTTCGTCTGAGATTATTTTACAATTATAATTTTGTAAGGCTAATCTCTTTTTCTAATTACAAATTAGGGACCTAAGCTCGAAAATGAGGATAACCTACTTATATGCAAACCTATTATTAGGCGATTCAGTTACATAAATACACATGTAGGTTAGGTTAGAAAATAAACATTAATTTCACTTCATTTTATTCATTTTGCTGATTTAAAATTTTTTTCTTCTAATTTTTAATTCTTTTAATACACGAAATTATTGGTATGATTACTTAAATATGATACATGTAAATACTTCTGACTCAAGGGTGTTAAAATATCTTGAAAATACCGCATCAAATACTGTTTTTGAGCTTGTAGTTTGAGCATTTCTGTTTGTATATATTCCTAAATTTAGTTTTTCTTTTAGGAATATAATCTGTGGTTCTGCTTCATCTGTCACTAAGTTTACGTTGAGGTCATGAATGCATATAAAATACATACCATCTTTTATTTGCAAAATAGGAAGCTAAATTAATTTGTTCGGCATTTCCTCTTACTCTCGGCATCTCTTTGTGCAACCATCCATACCAGGGTTGTTGCGGATATTCGTATTCGCATTTGCATTTGCAACCGCGGAGCTTCCGCATTAATTTTAACATTCGTATTCGCAATGATCAAAGCCGAGCTTTTGTGAATGCGAATGTTGTGCAAGTGCACTGATAATTGAAAGTTTGTTGATTTTTTTAGAATATTGCGCAAAGTTTTAAACATGGACTTAAACGATTATTGCTAAGGATGAACTATATTT